GTTCTCTGACCGGAACCAAGGACCTCCCTAATAAGTCCTAGGGCCAGAGGTTGGGACTTTGAAGGTGCGCCCAAGGATGACATACCAGCCCCAACAATAGATCACCCCTTTTCAGACAGACTCCCCTTTCCACTGCTCTTGGAGCACTATCACTTTGGACTGTTAGGCCCTCGATACTGTGGCGAGGGGATAGTCTATCTCATTCCTCTCATCTTCCCCTTCCCTGTCCCTCTTCAGGGACCCCTCTCATGAGTACCTCCTTTGACAGCAGGTTTCCTCGCTCCTATCTCTGGGGGCAGTAGAAGATGTCCCAGTCAATTTTTTTTTTGGGGGGGAAGGGTTTTTATTCCCACTACTTCTTCATCTGTGCCCCATCCTGGACCTAAGAGGGCTCAATGCCTACATAAGGAAATCAAGGTTCAGAATGGTGACGTTAGCGTCCCTTATCCCATCACTCGATCTAGGGGACTGGTATGCTGCCCTCGATTTGAAGGACGTGTACTTTCACATTTATATTGTCCCTCATCACAGGAAGTTCCTATGCTTCGTGGTGGGGAGGGACCACTATCAATTTGCAGTGCTGCCGTTTGGCCTGCCCACTGTGCCCAAGGTGTTTACCAAGTGCATGGCAGTGGTAGCAGCCTTCCTGAGGAAGAGGGGGGGCTACACCTCTATCCCTATTTAGACAATTGGCTCATTGGGTTGTTCCAGGGACCAGGTACAGACTTATATTGCAATAACTAAGCAAACCGTTTCGCAACTGGGTCTTTTGTTGAAGGAAGCAAAGTCGACCCTCGTACCCAGTCAGGTGATAGAATTAGTAAGATTAGACGCCGCAAGAGGGTGGGGCGTACCTTCCAAGCCCCAGCTTCGAAGCCATGAAGGAAATTATCCAGTGCCTTCGTGGTCACGGGTGGCCTGGCGAGCCAATGCTTGAGACTGTTGGGTTACATGGCAGCATGCCCTTACATGGTGCAGTATGCCAGACTGTGCCTCCGACCCTTCCAGGCCTAGTTGGCAAAGGTCTACAGGCCAGCCTGCAACCCCATAGATGCTGTGGTCACCATTCCTCTGGAGGACCTATCAGTGTCGGATTGGTGG